TCAATTAAAATAAAGACAGGTCCTTTTCCACTTAACACACGATTCTTATGAAACGGAAATAAAGCCTCCATTCAGGGACCCCCTCCATTTTCTCTCATTAACCACAGGTTGACTCCTGCTAACTGAGATCCTCTGAACAAAAGGTTATGTTTCTTAGCAAGGGGCAAACTGAAGCATTTAGTAACTTGGGCAAATGTTCTCTGTTTTTTCTAGTTAAGGGAACATTGGGGGGATAGGTAGTCAGGAGGAACCATGGAAGTTGCACTGCCTCTTCCTAGCTCCTCTTTACACCAAGCTGATTCGAAATGAGTTCTCAAACCCATGCTTCTTAGAGTCCAAGTCTTATACAATGACAAATGCTTCCAGTCTTTGAGACTCATAGATTTTCACTGGATAATTAGGAAATGGGATGGATGAATCTCTTCCAAATTGTACTCTTGGGGAGGCCAAATAGTTTAATTTAAATTGCTGGCAAATTTACATAAGTGGAGGGTGGAAACTTTTGGAAGCCAGGAAAACTATTTGAATACCAATTACAGTTTACACTAGCTGGTGACCTTCAGCCTGTAAGCTCTCAGAGACTCAGTTTTCACGTCTGCTGATGGGAGATAATACGACCACTTCAGTGAGTTTGTTAGGAACAATGTTATGATAAAGCACCAGGGGAACCTTGGTAGATTCCTTGTCAGGTGAGGATGACCGAGGCGGGGGACAAATATGCCAGGCAGAGCTTAGTGAAAAGTTTTACTAGAAAAGGAAAGGGAGGGAAGGGAAGAAAAAAGAGGTAAAGAGACACAGAGACAGAGAGACGACAGATGACAAGAAGGAGACAGGGAAAGTCCTGTCTGCCCCAGGGGAACAGTGGAAAAGAGAGAGGGGCAGGGGTCTTTCTTTTAAAGGGGTCCTTTGCACCTTCGTGCAGACGAGGGTACCACCTGAGTGCATTCTGCCAGGTGACAGGGCCAGGCCAGCATAATGCCTGAATCCTTACAGAGTTGCTATAAAGATGGAACACAATTCAATTCACATGAGGCTGTCAACCCAGGACAGAACAGGAATAGTGAAAGGAACAAGGTAACTTCATTGTCATAGAGCAGTGTGCTTCTGACCTTTGTCTTGTAGCCAATTGAATCCAGAAGATGAAGATATGAAAACATTCCCCTGGGACCTCCCTCCTAAGGTACCCCAAAACTATGTTTAATGCAAGAAGGGTAATAGTGTGTATCTTCTAAGGCTCTAAGACAGTTATTTGTTCTGCATTTCTCGAGACTAAAGGCATGCATGGCAATTTAACACACATTTATACATTATTGATAGATGGGAAAGATGATGCAATTTTAACCTGTGGTGCACTGAGACATAAATAAGCCTTGTTAAGTCGAATTCTTCAGTAGTGGGGTTCTTTACGTTATCTGATTTCCCCTGAACAGCAGAAATACAGCCGAACCTTCCAGGGCATTGACCTGGACCTGGCATCCAGTTTAACAATACCCACAGGAGTTCTAAAACCCTTCCTCTTTTACAGACAGTTGAAGAAGGATTTGGAGAGAGGCCCTAGCCTCTGAGCTGGCTTCTAAGCAAGTCTTGACTTCTTCTGCACTTCCTGCCCTAGTGATGGACTGTGAGCTTTCCCACTCTTCTGCCCAGGAGGACTGCTCAAGTTCAAGACATAGATTGTGTCATGCTGCATATTGCCATGACACAACTCATGAGACACACAGCACTGCTGTCTCTGCCTGACACCCACATGCCAAGGTGCTTTTGACTGGGAGTTAAGATCTCAGATCCTTACTGGAGCCAATCAGGTTACTAATAAATGATGTCGGAAAAAAATAAATAAAAAACCTGGAAGCCACCATTCAAGGTCAGGTGATTGTTACCATGTGGGAACATACAAGGTTGTTAGATAGTCTTTAGGATGAACAATACGATGACTTTGTAGCATATTTTATTTTTTAAGTATTGAAAAACAATTTTAAAAAACAAACAAAAAGCCACTGTCAGGTATATTTAAGGCCCCGAATCACCCCTAAAGCTCAATTAGAGGAATTGAAACTAGGATGGTATTTCAGTGCTCTGTGTTGCTTGGTGACCTTGGACAGGATTCAGTCTTCTTATCCACAAAAGGAAGAACTGGTGGTAGCTACTTTGCTGGTTGGCATTCACATAGATGGAGATTAAATTCACAAAACCCAAGCCAAATTTCAGAACATAGAGTTGAATTAATACTCTCATAGTAAGTTATTGAGTCATCAAAATGTGGGGCCAGACCTCAAGACTATCAGACAAAGCTAAGCTCCACAGACCTTACACAATGACTAGCTGTGCACCATCCAGGTTAATTTACTCATATATTTCCAAGTTGGCAGAAGTGTCCCCAAGAGCTAGCCCTGACAAATGAACTCCTTTGTCCTCAAATCCAACCCAGGTCCATTCCAATAAATGCAGCTTATTATCTGCTCCTTGATTTTAAATAAATACAGGGGTGGGGAACTGGCTTCTGGTGAGTCCTGGATTACCTCTGGGAACTTTCTCTGCAATGTGCTCATTTATCTTTGTCAGAATGGACACCAGCTTCTTATAAGAAGCTGAAACTAGAAAGCAGGGGCTGCCCTCTCCCAACCCCTGGGTGTGGACCATCTCCTCTGCAAACAGTGGAAGCACCGCAAGGGAGAGGCTGCCCTGGGATCAAGAAAGGTGAAAGATAGCTCCAAGTTGGACTTCCATGATCCTAGTACCATTGACTTTAGACCAGGTCACTTTTGGCTATAGACAGCCAAGCTGGGGTAACCTCCACCCATTAGATGCCAACCACACACACACCAATTCTGTTAGTCAGTTTTTCACCTCTATGAGCATTTGAGGTATTTGAGAGAAACATCGTGAGAGAGGAGGGATTTATTTAGATTCACAGTTTCAGCTCAGTCCATGAGCACTTGGTACCACACACTGGGGCAGAACATCATGGCAGCTGGAATGTGTGATGGAGAAACTTCTTCATGTAAGACAGGAAACCAAGAGAAGACAGTGTACAGAAGGGGTCAGGGTAAGATACAGCTCTTAGGATATACCCCAGGAACTTAATTCCTCCCATTAGACAAGAAGCAGCTCACAAGGACACATGCCCTGTGACCCACTTCCTTCAGTCAGGACCTATTTCTACAGTGTCACCACCCAACAAAAGCCTGTTCTGATTTTGAGTTCATTCATGGAAAAACCTGTTTATCAGATCAAAGCCCTCATGATTCAGTCATCTCTGGAGCATACACCACCCCATACACCATCCACCCCATACACACAGAGATGTGTTTTTACTAATTGCCTAGGCATCCCTCTATCCAATCAAATTGATAATGAAGATCAACCAACACAGATGGTCAATTGTAATACATTGTGATCATTAAAATGCTTAATTGTCTAATGTTTCTCTTTTCCATCTTAAAAGATTGGAATCAGAACAGTTACAGACTAATTCTGATGAGGAAATTAAGGAGAAGGAAAATAAATATAAGCAAAACATTACAAGAAAGTCAGGTCAGTGTCCACAACACACATATTTGTAGCCTCCGTGCCTTGGAAATTGAGCTCTGAGTTCCCTAATAGCTGGTGAAAAGAGAAAACAAGCAATTACAAGGTTACTGGTGTGGTCAGCACAGAAGAGACAGGTTTCAAGAAGGTCATAGAGGTCAATACAATGCACACATGGACATTAACAGCATCAAAAACTCAGAAGTATCATAAAGAAAGCACAGCAAGCGCTGAGCTACTGGGCATGGCTCAGAATGACGTTGCTATTGTCATTACCCTTTGTGTGATGGGATCAGGTTACCACCAAACTGCAAGAAGAGTTCTGCCAGCAATCTGCCCTTGCTGCTCTCAAGTCATTTTAAAAGGTGAGATTCAGCAGGAGCCATGGCTAGAGGAGCAAAATACATTCTGACTTGCCTTTTCTTTTGGTTCTTGACTTGGCAGACTGTAGAATGTGAGAAAATAAATTCCAAAGTAAATGCTGTCACAATGAAGCATTAACGATTAAGAGTAAGCCCCTCTGTTCTTCCCCCACCCCCACCTGCATGGCAGGCTCCCATCACCACCAAGCCCACTAACAGCTGCTGGGGGTCCACAGGATTCATTTGCTATTCTGGATATGCTCCGAATGGCCACCGCCCTCTCCTGCTGAGATCTGCTGACCACATGAAAGGAAGCTTCCTTTTCACTTTTCATGTTTTATGCACACTGTTCCCACTAAACAAGGCACCAGATAACCAATTGGTCCATGGCTTTGTGCTAGACCAGATCATGAAGGACGGTGGAAGGTGCAGTGCACACTGCTGCTTTTACTGGAAAGCACACATGTAAGGAAAGAGAAGACAGAAGCAGAAATGGGCAGAGGGAGGAGATAAGTTACAAGTCGGGGGACAAGAGGGGTTTCTGTGTTCATAAAGTGAGAGCTAAAGCTGGGGTAACTGTTAAAAGATGTCCCAAATTTAAAAAGAAATAAAATAGGAAGGAAGGAAGGAAGGAAGGAAGGAAGGAAGGAAGGAAGGACTGTGTGCCAAACCATTGTCACTTGAGCTTTGTCTGGTGGTGCACCCTTGAATATGGCAGTGACCTTCCTGGAGAGGTCAAGCTGCCTGCTCCCAGCCTGCAGAAATCAGTATCTGATTCCCTCAACCATTCTGACTCTAAGAAGATGTCAGCTGTGAGCCAGCAGCAGTCCATGTCTTAGGAGCTGAGAGAATGAATGTCAGGGTCTAGGGGCAGGGCAGACGGCACATCGCAGCATCCAGTGCACCCTATGAAGGAGACAAGATTCTGTCTTCAAGATAAAGAGAATTTATTGAGGTATTTTAGGCAGGGGACTGGCGTGATCTGGTGTTCACTGTGGAAAGAGCACTCCAGCTGGGTGATGGAGTGAAGATGGGCAGGAACGGCAGCAGGGGGACCAATTAGAAGGCTACTGGAGATGCCTCTGCCAGAAGGAAGGCGGTGCAGTGGGAATGGATGTGGTGGATGGTATGTCACAGCGGGACAGGATGGATGACTGCCTGAACGACTGGAATGACTCTGGCCTGAGCTCCTGGGTGCCTTGTAAGACAGGGGATGATGCTCCAGAAAGGTTTGCGTTTCAGGAGAAGGCTGTGCCCTCCATCTAAGTAGAGTGAGGCTGCAGTCCCTGGAAGATGCCTGGAACATACCCTAGGAAGAAAAATCCAGGCTAGAAACAAAATGGAGAGAAGCATAAAAAGAAGATTGTAGGGTATGCAGTGTTAGGAAGAATGAAATGCTCAAAAGGGAGAAATCCCTGGAGAAACTCCTTTTTTAAGAGAGGGAAAGAGCCAGAGAGTGGAAGCAAGAAAGCAGGCTACAGACAGAAGCCGGAGATGCTGGTGAAACACGAGGAGCAAGTGACTCTCCATACCTGCCAGCCTGCTCTGAGCACTGCATGGTAGGGATGTCACTTCATATTCATGAAGGGATTCTCTTCATATCCTCCTATGTGCCTTCACAAGAGGAAGCCCTAAGGCTTGAACCACTGAAGCCACCTGCCCAGGACTACACTCCATGGGAAAGGAACAAGGTTCTTGCTGCCACACCGTGGGACTCCATATCCAAAGCCTTCAACCATTCAGATTTTACTGTCAAAAGGAGTAGGGACTGGTCAAATCTGGACCACGCTTTAGGATAAAAGAAACACTCATGCACTTTCAACAAGAAAGGCATTGGTGGCTTAGCAGGGGCACCTCTGCAGTGAATGCTAGGGGGAATTAATGAGCAGTGAATGATGCCATCCTAGAGAACCGTTTACCTTTCTGGGGTTTGAGACCAAACTTTGGCTTGTTTTGTTTGTTTGTTTTACTGTTGCTTCCTCTTCTCTAACTATCTTGTTGACCAGAAGGTTTTTATGAACCTTTCAGTATATAGATATTTGTTATCTATTGAGAGAATGCAAATTAGTTTGTGAAGGACAAGTGATGAAAAATGAAGCCAAAATGAAACACAGCTATGCTTAATGCCAAGCTTCTTAAGATATAATCAAGGACTGGCCCACTGTCCAACACACCTCATGATGGCATTCAGATTCATTCTGCTACTGTACACCCATGCTGTCTCTCTCTCTCTCTCTCTCTCTCTCTCTCTCTCTCTCTCT